TTAAATAATGAATAAAAATGGTAATCTCAACGTTTTATTGTTATCTGACTGCATTTAAAAACATTTGAATTTGAATTCAGTGTAGCAAGAATGAGTCATCTTTAAATTTTACAAAAATGATAAAAACATACAAAACACCATTAAAATCAGTTAGCAAAACGTCCCATATTAAATATTAACATTTATTTTTCAGATCGAAAATGACTGACGTGAAGGGTACACTAATTCACACAAACCACGACTAGCATGCTCGAATTTACCATTGACTTTATGACTAAAAAAAATATATGACATTGTGATCATTTTTATTTTGGTTTATCGTCCTCTCGGCATCCATGGTCATATGTCATATACAATCGGCAATGAAACACATTCATCGAGGTAATAGCTGCAGTTGATTCAGCGTATATCCCTCGTGTTCGATCACTGACCTCCACTGAAGGACGATGATCTCGTCATGCGCCGTTTTGTTTTTGTTTTGCCTGAATATTCACTACTTTATGTAAGCAAAGGATCATCTCGCAAATGTACAAATTAATTACAAGTACCAGTTGTTCTAAGTTTGGTTAGCTTAACGAGAAATCATCTAATTTACTGTTTTATATCGAATCGTTTTGAATAAAGGCTCAATCTGATCATTAAAAATATAAGAACAGGTTTTGTCAAATTTAAGACGTATCGTATAAAATTATTAGTCACATTTTTGAAATTTCAGTTTTCTTAAATGTGTGCCTTTGAGTTGTTTACTGCAGGTTGTTGACATAACTTCAAAATATTGACTTTCTTGTACAAAATTGTTTTTAAGAAAAAAAAACTAATTTGAAACAACATGCATTTCACTTCCTATTCTTTTTTAGTGCACGCCTGCAGTTAACTCATCGATACTGCTTTATCGCTGAAATGTTTAATTACTTTTCCCTGTAGTAAACACTCCTCTATCGCCAATGCTCCGGGCTTATTGCATCAAACATGTTTCTATCTGATAAAATCAAACGGGATTGAGCACAAAGTATTCCACTTATAAAACATCCTCTCCCTGAAGATGATAAGGAAGTTCACAAAGTGTCCTTTCTAAATGTTTTGTACATGGACGTTCACAAATAGACCGCTCTTCCGTTCCATTCGTAATGATATCTAGTTGACGGCGCTGTGTCCTTCTATCCTTCTATCGTCACAGAAATGTCCATTTCATCCTGAAACTGATATTGTTGTCGTTCTGTTCATCAGACTTACTCAACAGTCACATTTTGTTGGAAGAAGTACAAATGGAGAGCATCCTATTTCAGCAATTTCGACTCTTACTTGTGTTGACCCGCGCGATGAAGCCGTGTAGCTAAACAGTGTTGTTGTAGAAATTACATAAACAAAAAAGCAACATGTTTACACATTTGAATCATGTTCAGTTACCTTTATAGTGTATTTAATCCAAAACAGCACTAGTTTCAAAATTACATTGCTAAAATGTCTGAAACTGTTTGTTTGTCTTTTCATTTGAACATTAGTATATAACATCAACATCATAGAAGCCATTATGTGCTTTAATTTCTAATAAATAATGTAATTTGTTTATATACAATCAAGATTTACTACAAAGTGTTTTTTTATGGAAAATGTCTCATTCTATAAGTTGTTGTTTGTGATTACTGCCTAGTAGATATGACACATTACATGTATAAATGTTTGAAAAAATTCCAATCATGGATTAGAACATAATTATTTTATCATACTTTTACTAGTGAAATATGCAGAATCATAAGTATGATAAAACGATATTTAAACAACAATGAAAAATTGAAAATGAATTATCGTCACTAGCATAAAGTTGTTATGACGTCACAATAAAAAATGGTGACATGCATTTTTGACGACCAATCAAATCCAATGAAACAAGTAATTTTAGAGAGGAGTTACTGGTACAGTATGTAATATATTTCCGGATCGGTTCGGAAAATAAAATAAACAGAACATTCAATGGTTTTCCGTCTTAAATCACAGATCTGTCACTCATATGCCAGGTTTTACATTTCACTCGTGTTTTATATGGAATGATTCAACAGGAAGCATATACGTTTCCTCCATATATTACTTACAAACTTTACTTACATAAATCATATCTAATCCATATACGACACACATGTTTATATACTAAATATATTATATCAATATCATATAATGATTGAATTGGAATCTACACAATTACCTCCAGGTCCCTCACGTCATGGCAGGGATTGACTCTCCGGATATATTTCAAAGAGCATTACGATGGCGGTATTAATTATGCTTATTTGTAATTAGCTCCGATACATGCTTCCCGTATCAAACCATACATGACTCATCTCGGCCCAGTTATCTAGCACCGCATATACGTTTCAGAAAACGCCCTGATTTTAATTGCATGTTAAAATATGTATGCATTCATAACCAGACCACAGGCAACTACAGTGCACCTTTTTCTGTTCACCTTGTTTTTTAAAATATGACACCATAATGCTTTTCATTTCAAATGCAAAATCGCTGCAAATAAAATAAGTTGTTTACAATCTTATAATATGTTTTACTGATATTTTTGAGAGCCTAGCTCAGAAAAGCAGATTCCCTTGCGATAACCTTGTTATTAACTTGGCAGTCATATCTAGTACTACATTAAGGGGAGATTTGTTTGTCTTGTAGTCCGGTATACATAGACTGTATGTGCTATATCTCCTGGATTGTTGACTCACGGAGACCCTAGCCAGATGCACTGTCAGACATGCATGTGTTCAATCACAGACTCGTGCCCAATGACTTTTATGTAAATTATATATAGAAAGTCCAATAACAAAAATATAAGACCTTCTGCAAAACAACCAACAGATTTTGTACCAAATATTGTGGCGCATGTTTACGCCGACAACGCACGAATCGTGGAGTATTTATAGAAGAATACTATCAATATCAAAAGTTTGGAAATCCAAAAATAGGCGAAGGTTTGTAAGCTAAGCTGCTTTGGAACGATATGTGTTGCAGATAGACGCGAAAACATCGCCATTGTGAGTGCCTGCCCCTAATTCGATTTGAAATGTTCATTGAAGTTTGCGAAGTTAGGCCGGAGAGTTCCGTCTCCATTCAACGTAAAACTGCAACAATAGATACAAATTATCCAGCTTAATTAGTTAAGTATTGTCTTAAAATGTTTTTACTTAATATGTATGTTCATTAACTACTTTAATTTGTTTAAAAATATCTTTAGAGAAGCGAAATTATTTATATTATCCACGAAGGGGGGAGGGGGGGGGGTCATTTTGAACCCAAGGACACGCACATTTCATCTGTTTAAACTGTTTAAAATTCCCTCGATTTAAAATTCACGTCATGGTGTCATTATTGTAATGAAGATTGATGCAACTGCGTTCTTGGTATTGCATTGTATAACTTTGCTAAATAGTGAAGTATGAAGGATTTGTATTTAATTACTTCCTCGATTTATCATAATGTATCACAAAGTTTCTATCCAAGTCTGAACGGAAACGGATACCATTTTGATAAATCGACCCGGCACATATAACGTAATACAGTGACTCTACTTCAATATCTATCGTTTTCCGCTTTGTGTGAGGAGGAGGAAGTTTAAAGAACAGTACCTAGTAAAATTCGTTAAACCGTTACTGAGAATCAACTTCAATAAATATGAACATTCCCCATTCACATCCATCGTTAAACTGTATATTCATTATTTATAGCGTGAAATATGTTTACGCATTGATCCGCATTAAACATGGATCACGAATTAAGAATCACGCGAACAATTACTTGTAGTGTACATAAAATGGAGAGTAAATGAAAAATAGCATCATCGCGAATAATTACAGAAAGATAAGTTCGCGAGATTTAGTGTACGTGAAAAATATTTAATCAACAGTATATTCATCATTAGTATCGCATGCAAAGAATTTCAAAACACTCGTCTATGAAAATACAAATAAAACCTGTTCTCAATTTGCTATATCAGAAATAGGCATCTCAATTAAATCTTATCCGTCTAAATTTATGATAAAGTTATTAATTAAATAATACAAATTGTACGATACATGTTGAAAAATACAGTAGATTTCATGTCAATAAATATATACAAATAACACTTAGCATGCATGACTTAATTGTACTCTGTTGTTCTGTTCAAACTGAAGTGTCAATTCATAATGTGACTTTTCATTAAGGCTATCATAAATTTAATTTTGTCGATGTATTATATGACGTATACAAAAATCTAACAACAAAAGTTGTACATATGTATTATTCAATAATATAAATAAGACAAAATTAAAACAAACAGTTGTATTATATACTTCACTGCATACAGTCAAACATGATAAATAATGCTCTGGACGTAGTTCATGCCAAAATTACTAATTTTAATATATAACTTCAAATCTTGTTTCAATTTGTTAACAGTCTTTCAATAATAACATGGGAGCAACGAAATTACTTATGAAAACGATAACATGAGGACTAGAGCAGGAGGTGACATCATAAGTCACACTAGTATTGTGTAAGTGTGGTTGCCTTGGGGAACAATTAACGGACTTCAATACGGAAGTCAGTAAAACCTGCGTATAATACTTGGTGTGATATTTAATCATACTGCGTGTCACACTAAATCGATAAGAATATTGAAAGAGTTATATCTATCGACCTATTTACACAATCATCTAGTCATCAACAGCTGAGGATTATCATCGCTGTTGACATAACGTGAACTCGATACAGCTCCTCGCCTAATAGGCATGTGACTCTCGTTGGGTCGGTTTCTTATCCTGGGCAACCTTGTCGTTATGCCATAAGCCCCGCAGCCTTTGTTAGAGTTAGATACCGCTAACCGATCGTGTCAGCCTGAAAAAGACCATCAACCGCTTCCGAGTATTCATAAGCTGTACCGGAACCAGCCGAAGCCATGTTCGGAAAAGCTCCGCTATGATTCATCTATTTATAGCAATGATGACCTCATGGTAAAATTTTTCCGGCTGTGACGTGTTAGCTATAAATGACTCCATTCATGCACAACCCAAACATTGTGTAGTGTGACTAAGATAGAACAAGACGTGTAGCTCCACTTCTATATTTACGAATAGGAGAGTGGAGAGGGATCTGTATGTAGTGGTGAGGAACTCATGGTATACTATAGCGTAGTGCTAGTATAGTGGGTTCACGTGCCTCTGTAGTAGCCTCTTGGCCAGGTGTTGTGTTTGGAGGATTTTACTATACATTGTAGACTATGCCTGAGTGTGGTGATATAGATGTTTTAACCCCAACCTCCCTCATGACCAACACCATATTACAAGGAGGAAGACGAAGATTACAATTGTCTTTGGATTTTTCATCGATAACGGATTCTGAAGATTTTCATGTGCCGAAAAAGCTCTGTAAGTTGGAATCAATGAGTGTTTCATTAACGGGACCCTTAAAATTGAACTCTTTGGCCCCTACACCAGCCTCCTGGCGGACTATACAGCCCCAGGAACTGGCTGCTAGACTCAACAAAGTTCACAAATCGTGTCTTTTGTTGGACTGTAGATCTTTTATCTCTTACAACGTGACTCATATTCAGGGTGCTGTCAATGTCAACTGTTGTGACAGATTCAACAGAAAACGGCTTCAGCAGGGAAAAGTTACTCTGATAGACCTTGTGAATTCTAAAGAGGCCAAGGACCAATTTAAACGTCGAGGGTCAAAGGAAGTGATTCTTTACGACGATGGAACCAAAGACCTGCATCAACTTCCCACAGACAGTTCTCTGTATCTCGTCGTCTCGTCCCTACTGAGAGAAGGCAAGGAGGTGCTGGTTCTCCAAGGTGGGTACAGATGGTTTTGAGCATTTGTTATTGATTTTCTGGATCGTTTAGAGACAATGAATGAACTTTCTTTATATATATAATTTATATGACATTGTATTATAAAACTAAATAATTAAAAACGTTGTTTCTGAATATGTTTACGTTGAATTATCAGTATTTCATGTATACTTACGTAACTAATCTGGTTACCAATAGTTACCTGTAAAGGACCTGAGGGAACAGAAATCTTTTGAAAGGAACCTGATGTTTATAAACTCATTTACATAATACGGACTTATTTCCTGTTGAAATAATAATATAGAATGTTGTCGATTTCCTTGATCGATTATTTCTATAATTACCTTTGTCTATAGACATATATAATTAGTCATCATTTTATATAACCAGCCTTGTGCAATAACAAATCTATCCTCAACCATTTGTCATCATCACTCTTTCTATTTCTGTTCAAAACTGGATTTGATGACTCTGAACTAACTTGTTCATGTAACATGATCCTGATATAAATCCACTTATCAAATAACTCTATAACCTTATAAGTCATCTTATGTCTTTATGTCGCATGACTTTGACAATTTAATCCTTCAAACCCTACCGGCGAAGTTAAATCTTTTAATACTAAATTTCTCTATTGAACAGTTGGCTGATGATTCATTTTCAAAAATGTCTTTCTTCTTTCAATTAATTCCTCGAGTCAAATAGCCCCATAAGGCATGTGACTTGTCTCCCTTTGTTGGCCGTGTATATGACCCCCTTCAGCCCAATGTGGCGCATAGTTGCCCGTGAGTCACTGCCGAACAATCGCTCAACGTACTTTAGTCATACGCTGTTCCCAACACTGAGCTCGGAATGTGGGTACGATCACAAGCGATTTACAGATTTTCGTCGTCAATGGAGCGAAACCATCTCGAACCCTTTATCTTTAGGGTAAAAAATCGACACGTATTATTGCCTAAATGAGTAATAATCGAGTACTTTTTATCGTAATTACTACTGTATAAACAGCGTACAATGCTGATGTCGGGACGGCTGATGAGGACTGATGGTTCGAGAGGTGGCTGCCCTAATCACCATAGGTCGCATTCCGAAGTCATGATGAAGATTCCATACAAATGGTCACTTAAATATGAAAAGACATGAACGGTTGAAAAGAAATATTTCTTAAATGTAAAGGCACAATTGCCTGTTGTTTCCTCTTTGAATACAAAGCGTAACTATAGCTTACACAGCTAAACTATAGCTTACAAAGCGTAACTATAGCGTAACTATAGCTTCTTTTATATAACAGCTATTTGGGAAGTTTTGTGGACAATTTTCATCAGAATTTTAAACGACTTTCCACAAAACCCAGTAAAAATTACAAGTTTAAAGTTTGTTCATATTTCATTCCATTTCCCCTTGAAAACATAACTTTACTGGTATAAACTTCCCGTCTTTCTATTAAAGTTAAGTAACCTTTGGTCTGGAAATATACAAAGTGGCCAATAGAACATCTTCCTTCATTATTCCGTATATAAAACACGACGTAACCAAGGGGAAACATGAATAATTACGACAGAGAACTATAGCAACATCTTCCATAAACCATATTTATTTCACCCATATTTCAAATAATTACAACAGATTAAGTTAACACATGGGGCGGTTTGTCATTCCTTTTAATGTGTTATCAATTACATCATTCAATAATAGAGTCCATTTCAGTATTTATAGTTCTTTATTCGATATTTTGACAACTGTATCGGGTATATATCTTATGAATACAGTATCGATTTAAATATCAGCCCGTGAGTCCAGGTAACTAGTGGCCTTTGATAGAAATCAATTAAAACATTGAAATGTTTGTTATCATAACGGTATCCAAAAACAGTGAGAGGATGAACAGACGACACCGCGTCACTAGACGACACCACGTTAGCAGACGACATCCCGTCACGTTACAAAGACCACAAACCGCAAACACTTCTACTAAACAGGACGAAATAGAAACAAAAAGGGGAGACTCGTTTTTGAGTCATGAATTATTTGGTCCTGTTTACACCCCGAGCGTGAAAGGAAAGACTGCTTGGCAACCATCGATCTGTAAACGTCACGGGAAATAGTTTTTGTTTTATTATCAAACGGTTATGATCGACGTTGGTTTATGTTCACAATATCCCAAGAAAAAAATATCCTTGAAATTTGTTGGGATAACGATTTTACTCCATTTAATATGTTTGTTTGATAAAATGATTCTCCATATTATATCTATTTTCGTGTTAACAAAATAGTTTTTAAATACCCATTTAAAAAAAACTGTTGATAAAGCAGGTTTTTACATACCCATTTTAAAAAAACTGTTGATAAAGCAGGTTTTTACATTAGCTGTCTAAGGAAAACCCCAGAATCAGTTTCATGTTCGATAATTTTTTCCATTGAGGGAAAACCAGTTAGATCTAGCGAGAAACATACATCGCTTATGATGAGTCATCCAGACACACTCCGCCAGCTGACTTATAAGGCTAAACGTGTGTGCTATTTTTACCCGCGACCTTAGCACAAGACCAGGTAAATACACTATATAGGTCTCTAGATCTTGTTTACATACTTATTCGCCTATGTACACAGGCTGTTTACGTTTAAAACTTGACTAATGGCAATCGCGTACGGACGATTACGTCACAGGTTGCGGTTTCTTCCTTATTACAACCAATTGCGAAATGGTATCAAAAATAAATCTGCATCGAACGTTAATAGAAACCCGGATACCAATAGGTTTTACGCATATCATGATATTAGTAATTAACTGTCTGAATGCTGATCAGATTTATATTAAATATCAATATAAACGTAGTAAATATGAAAAAATGAGTAAAATGTAGGTTATTTATACTTCTCCGCTGATATGCTTACAAACACACACTGTTAGAATTTACAAAAAGTGCAACCTTGTGCTGAATGAATGGGCGTTAAACCGTCTGACGTAAAAACCTAATATTTATGGTTTGTGGTTAAAGCACTTGCTGATTCGCGCCAGATAAACGTCGTGGAACATCCCTTCATACGATATGAGAAAGTTGTAAGATAGTGTGGAGAGATAGAACGAGTATACACGGGGCAATGTCTATATATAATCTCTCCGTCTGAAACTCAATCCCAAATATCTCTGCATGTATCTTCGGGATGCTGTGATGGAGACGGTGGTTATCTGAAGAGGGCTCGCAGTGAGTGACCGATACCGCGTGTAGATACCGACTCCACTTTACAGGTGCATCTTGCGTTCCACGAAGAGATACGGAACTCAATTCAAACTATCAAAATATTTTATTTCAAAAAAAGTAGAAAATTAAAAAGGCATCGACGCATTTTATATGAGATCGTGCAGAGCCTTGCCAAGGCATCGCCCATGTTTTGTAATCAAGTCGAGGTAGGGTGAAACGTCTGGACTAAAATAGTAGAATTAATTTTGGAAGATCTGCAAGTCTAGTCACAAGATACACAAAGTCTAATATTCTATTTCTCTTTGTATTTTTCAGGAGGACTCCAAGCCTTCCGGTGCCAATACACTGACCTTTGTCACAGTGGGGTTAAAATCGTCGACTCTCGTCCACTCTATTCTCCGACCACGGGAATAATCGAACCCCAGATCGAGGCTGCCGAAGCGACCCAAATATTGCCTTTTCTATATCTAGGTAGGCATTTCTTTTTACTTTTGGAAGCTTTTGCAATCATCCTTTTTATCAAACCCCTCCGATTTTGATTACTCCAACTGATTACAAGAAATACGTTCAATATCGAAACTAATGTTGTATTATTGTCATGAACAGGAAACGAACGTGATGCGGCGAACTACAAGAAGTTAACCGACCTTGATATCACATACGTGCTGAACACGACCTCGACCGTGCCCAAGCACTTCGAAGACCAAGGCATTACTTACAAGCGCATCCCGGCCTCGGATAGTGGGGCACAGAATCTCCAGCAGTACTTCGAGGAAGCTATCCAATTTATAGGTAGGCATGTGCAACACATTAAAATTCTAGGTACTCGTAGAGGCTCTTGTCTACTAGATTTTGTAAACGAATGCTAAAAGTCTTTTAATTTACCATACGAGATTCATTTTATAAAGAATTAGCCAAAATAAATTGCTTACAATAATTCCTCTTTAAAGATCTATTGTGTGTTAAAACGCACAGGCAGAATGCAAATTGGCTTTTATTTTACTAAAACAATACAAACTCTAGTTCACAAGTGCCTCAGACCAACGTTAATGGAGATAAGATATTTTTGTATTATTGACGAAACAATCAGGGATTTGGACAATTTGTAAATTATCAACATCTATTGTATTAGTTATTGCGGTATATCAACAATGCATACTTTTAATTGTTATGAAAAGTAAACAATGAACTAACATTCCTGACCCGCCGTTACCGCAAATTGTTTATCTATTGACCAACTGTTGTTTAAACATTTCTCTAATGCTTGTATGTATTGCCCAGAGCAATGACTAAGGCACGCAGTAGAAAAATACCTTCATTTGAAAAATATCGATTATGATGTATTTTAACATGAATAAATAAACATCACTGTCATTACTACGCATGTAACGCTAATTAAATGTCAATAATGTTCATTAAAAAATTCGAACTAAACAAGCTAATTTGAAGTGTCAAATTTTAAACTAAAGTTAGAATGGAGTCAATAGTGTGTAACGTGCTGATAGGATCAATAGGACTAGGGATATTGACTTCGATCTTGTAGTGACTCACCAGTTTGTTTGGTCAATAGCCGTCTGCTCGCTTTGTCCCTTCAAGGGGCTGACATGTTTACAAATACAGTTGCATGGTTAAAGAAAGGGGCTTACACGGACATAAATTATTGTTTGTAATATAACGGATCAAAAGGTGTTCAATCTCTGCAACATGTTATGATAATTCCCCCTCGGGCGCCCCAGTCCATGTCAATTTCTCACCTGGTGATGAATTCGAGGACACACGTGTCTATTGTTAGGGACAGCTGATGTCACGGCTGTAGGGGAATGACTCAGCCCCTGTCACGTGCTTAGTTGTCATGGAAATTGCATATCAGGAGGAACTATATAGTTTAATTACTGCGGAAGAAGTTTGTTTTAAATCAGACATATGGTAAATGAGTTTGTCAAAGTACTATGGCGCGCGGAGGAACCCTTGCCGCGCTCTGACTCATGTTCTGCGATTTCAAACTTTTGGGCAGGTGATATGAAAAGAATGAACGTGATAAAAAGATTCAGAAAGTGCATATTAAGTAGGTGCTGGTTTATTCAAGAAGTCTGTTATTTGAGAGAAGAAAAAAAATGATAAAAGACATGTATATCGCTTTGATAAAAGGCAACTCGTTTCCGCCGGAGTAGTGATTGCTGATTTTATTTTGTCATCAAATGGTGACACGGGAAAAGATATTATCTGCATATAATTCCCGGCGCCGACAGTACCGGATTATGATAAACGTCTCTTTCACCAATGATGAACAGTATTAGAATACATCTTGTTTATCCTATTGAGAGGGAAATGAGTAACCTTAGGGATGGTTCAGGGATATCGTCGGTCGTCGGCCAAAGCTGAGTCATACTTGAACAATCGATATATGTGTGTATATATATATATACAAGTCCAAAACTTACAAAACTCTCGTATGGATGATTATAATACAATAAAATACAGGGCCATCTGTGTCCGCCAACAGCTGTATGACTAAACAACAATATCATTGTATCATTTGTGCAACACGTTTCCGACATAAAACACAGCATGTTGGTCAACTGCAAGCTACTCTTCAAGGTCAGACAAATGATGTCATGCATCGCTTTATCAAATAAAACAGAGATGCATTTTGTTAATCCTTCTTTATCAAATTAAGTATGCACATCCCAGGAAGCAAAATTAAAGTGCATTCATATCATGTTTGCATTGTGTTTTGATAACAAAGTTCGGACAGAAAGCAAACAAAACGAACAAAGTCTACAAATTGAAGGAAAATAAACTTAGTGCGACTAAGTCAACCGTTGTTTATAAAAAAATCCTTCTAATTTTAACTAAAGTGATTATTTGCTTTAGGTGTAGTTCGATTTCAAACTATGCAAATGAAAAGAAAACAACAATGAAATTAGATAAAAAAAAATACAGTATGTTTTAATTCCAGTATTAACAATAATTAATGAAAGAAGCAATACTGATGGTGAACTTTATTAACGTTTTGAATGTTTTGTGTACTTGCAGAGGAAGCTCGTCAGAAAGAAGCACGTGTCCTCATTCATTGTCACGCGGGCGTCTCGCGCTCTGCCACCATCACTATTGCCTACCTACTCACTCGATCATCACTGAGCCTCATGGATGCATACCGTTTTGTGAAAGGACGCCGATCCATCATTTCTCCTAACTTCAACTTCATGGGCCAGCTCATGGAATACGAACAGTCCCTCAACAGCGGGTCATGCTCGCGGGTGCTAACTCCCAAAATTGTGTAGCGTCCCCATTTCTCATCGTTTCAGTTGGCATTTATTATCTTGTGGACTTACTTTAACAACGACTTTGATATGGACAAATTATGCAATGAACAGATGAGCGCACGATGACGTCATGTCATACAAATATGGTGTAAAATGATCACATGGACTTGCAATGTGCAAAGATTGCATTCTGATACGGAGGACCTCAGTTCCTGTTTCAAAAGGGATATAGACGTTTATCTAAATGCATAATTATCTTATCTTATCTTATTTTATGATAAGTTAAATGAACATTAATATTTTCCCCAAACTTACGTAATGTCCATGGAAGAATATTCTATTGAAATACCAATTAGAGATTAAGTGGTACCCGTTATCATCAAGTAACTAAATACACTACTCTACAATCTCAGGGCACCCCAATGTCTGTGTTTTATACTCGTTATTTGTATTACTGTGACAACGTGAAATCCAATTATTTTATTTATCTACTAGACATTACTTACTCCAGCAGGACCACATGCAGATAAAGATGAGAAATATTGATACATGCAACAAAAATACTCCATTTGTAAATTCTGGAATAATTTATCAATTTTCAAAAAAGACAAATTACAACTTATCGTAATCAGTCCGTTTTTTGTCTAAAAAGTAAATTTTAACTTGTGTCTACATAAATGACGGAACCATTTGTCTAAAACACGTTTGTTTCGTGACGTGTAATGTAAAAGGAAGTCATTAACGCCGGCATTCCTCGGTTAACTCAAGTGATGACCAATCTGTTTACAAACTACCTCTTGTCCAACTTAGTCAGCAAACCGGAAGTTATGACTTGGTGCGCCTGCATTTAATATATGTCGGCAAATGTTTACTTCCGGTCGGAATCACCGAGCTGGCCTTTATAACTAATTATTACTAACTATGCATCACGCCTGGAGACTGTCGCCGCGGCGGCCTAACTGGCGGGTCCCACATTAATATTACACATGTACATAATTAGTATATTTATTGAATCATTCCTAAATATGTGTATACAAAGCGAGAGCAAGAGGTGTGAGTTGTTTCTGATGTTACTAGTCATAAAGATGTACGCGGTGCCGCGGCGCTGTTCCCACGGGTGTGTGGAAATAAACTAGCTGTGTATGTGACGTCATCGTGTTTGTGGAACTCTAGAACTATTTCATGTCGGTGGAAATATGATATACTAGTGTAGAGAACTTTTGTCTTATTATGACTAATTAAAACCATCGTTTTTCCTTCAAAACTACTTTAAAATTAAGTTTGAAATCTTAAAAAAAACTATTTAATAAATATATTTCACAACAAACACTTTGCTCTAAATAACATACATTGTCGTAGGGCCTAAAAGCAATACAACCATAACACCAAAACCTGACGAGGGTTTGGAAAATATTTTGTGTCAAATTATTAAAATATTTATAGTGTTTTCCTTCTAACCCAATCTAAAATTGTTGAATTCTTTTAAAATCACTCACCGTTTAACTGTAATCGCAAAATTTGACATTTTGAATTTTTTGTTTTCCTATTAAAAAACCGGTTTATTTGGATGATAAATCCATATCAATGTAACAGTATTATTAAATGCAATTTTTAAGATTAATACTTTCTAGACTAGACAATTGGCATTAGACATAGGACTGCTGAACGTCATATAATAGTATTTTTTATATTTATAGATTTATGTAAAATATTTTCTGAATGTTATTGAATGTTTGATGTACGTGATTGGTGTAGTTTCTAATCGTTCCGTCAGAGGGCGTGCTGTGTTTGAATGTCGAGGTCAGTGAGAACTGACCATTATTTGTGTATTGTGAGAACTTGACCGGACATCCGACTCAAAACAATATATTTCGTTTCCATTGAAAAGACTAAATAGAAAATAAAATATGAAAAACAAAACATATATCTGAATTTTATTGTTCATTTTCTGCTGTTTTGTAAGTATAGAGAGTTTACAGGAAATATATCAGAATTGAAATGTTGGATCACAAAACAACATTATCAGGGACGGAATTTGACAATCAACATTTGTTTTATAAGCTGTTAAAATATGCAATAATATGTTGTGTTAAATATTGCTGCACTTGAAGTGATACTCGAAAGTTACGTTGGAGTTATAATTGGTCCTTGGTAGGAAACCTCAATTACAAAGTAACCCCTCTAAGTACTACAATTAGAGCATGTCTCCTGGGACTCCGGTAAGGATCCACGTACTAATGCCAAAAGCTGTGACTTTCCATTGATGACCTTTTTTTCCCGGCATGACTCTATATATAGCTTTGGTAAATCATTTCTGAAAAGAGAATCCTACCCTGTGGGATCTTATGAAAAGAACTTACGACGAAAGAAAGAACGAATTATCAAGTAAAACGAAGTTCTGAGTATAAAAATAAAACTGTGCCAGACCCGGGTTCGAACCCCGGAACTCTAGTCATTGTACCGTCGCTCTAACCGACTGAGCTACAAGGCCAACTCCCTCTAATCCATAACGAAATCGAAGGGTGGGGTTACTGAATGCTCGAAAAACAACACTGGAATTAGGAATAATATCAAAATTTTACTTTATACACACACAATGTACTTATTAAACATGTTGCAACGTTTCAAGACGGACTGGTCCCTTTATAAAGCTACATGAGTTGTGTATAAAGTAAAACTTTGATATAACACATGTCCAAACTGATGAATCTTACTGAACCACATTGGAACTCTCCAGTGTTTTACCTGCAATGGGACAGGGACCCTTAACGCACTAACACATCAACACGTTCCATTTTCATGACAGCTTCAACTGATGTTTTTCGAGATGCAATTTATAAACATTATAAATCTGATATATCTGTGTTTCTTGACAGGCCTGTTTAGGTCCTGTGTTATCTGCAAAAGGGTTGACGAAAAAGAAGCCAAATCATCAATTTGCAAAACGAACATTTGGAAATAGATGTATTATTTTAGGTTTCTTCTTTTAACCACTTGTAACATTGATCTATAAACGTCTGGTTATTTTAGTCTTTGTCGTTAAGTCTAATGATAAACACGAAAGGTTCCGAATGTAGAGAAAGAGGTAATTGCACAGGTCTTAAAAACAAATATTGCAGGCACTTCACTTTTCTTATTTATTCTTGAATTTGTAATTTCAGTGGAGGCAATTTGAGTTGTGACACAGTTGGAAATAAGATAAAGACACTCGGCGACTTATGTTCGAAAAACAGCGGCTGTGCTCTCGATACACGGAGAAGCTACAACAGTATACACATCAGAACCCTTGGATTTCAAAGATGATGACTAATACGCGAAATCAGGCCTGATCAAGTTAACAGTTAAAACTATTTCCCCGGGGAATGGGACCCAAACGAAGAACTGTTTCCCGGAGGGAAAATAGTTGGGCAGTTGACTAATAAGGCATGAAAAAACTGTTTTCTTATTTGACTAACATGGCCAATGAAAAAAGAGTATTTAGTTAAATTAAAAATCAGCATTTAATATTAGTACGCATAACGCATGCATGAAATGTAATCGTTTATGTCAGCGATAGCGAGGCAGCCGAACAGTCATAGTCATCAGGATGTTAGGTGCATTCGATTATATAATGTACATCGCACGTGACCAGTCTAGCAAAATTTAGTTTATCACGTGACCAATCAACAGTCGTGCGGTAACAAAATTGTCGTGTAACGTTTTGTAAGATTAGAACAAAACAGTCAAAATTGCTTAATGTTTGTTAGTTACTATATAGAAAGTCAAGTAATACTGATAAATACGTTTCACAATTTCTCGAAATATATGGTGCTCGCAGCTTGAAATAGTCTCCAAAACATTGTACTTTAAACAAAAGATTAAGGAGTGTTGATATTCAAGGACAAAATTCGAAGTTTTTTTCCGTTGTTATTTCAGTGAATCGATGAGTATTGAACGGGAAGCAGTTGATACGACGTGAATACAGAAAAACAAAAGTTTCCTGTTTACAGTCGCCTGACGTTTTGATAGAATAAGGAAAACTTCTCAGGCAAAAATCTATCGTAGTTTATCAAGTGAAATTAATTTAAAATCATCGAAATAGATATCAACAGACCAGTATTTATTTTATGTGTGATTGTTACTTGGAGAAGTTGCAAACATGTTTTAAAAAGGGACTTTCTTTTAAGAATCGGTTTGTCATTTTCTTGATTACATTGAATCTTACGACGCGTTATGTATAAAGGGAAGTTACTCGTATTGAAGTACCACCTTAAGTAACGTTATATATAGAACGCACAGTATGTATGTTAAAAAACCATGACTAGCATGTATATAGGAGAAACGAATATTCATTGAAAGTTATGTCATTCGCTTAACGTGTTTGTTTATACTTTTGGGGATGAGAGATGTGAAATCTTATGAAAATAGACCAGACCTCCAGAAAACGTCCAGTTTCTGTCGCCATTGCGTATCGTGTTGTTTGGTAAGACATCCGTAGTTACCGCCCCTAGTACGTTATCTGATAGAAATATTTCTGAAATGGTGTGCAATACTATTTGGTTACACGAAGCTAAACTTACGAAAGCGTATTCTCTGATTTGTCCCTTTCGAGTATTTTCACCACACTATGGACACATTTGTTTTCCCAGTTGTGAAATTTGTTCTTCATTTTTCAGTCGGTGACTATTCATCTTTTTAGGATAAAAACAAAACGTGATAAAAATGATACACATTAGTTTAATAAAACAAATAAGTAACCTATCAAATTCTCGAATTATATAAAGAATTTTATTTATTTCGATTAAAGGACTCAATATTTGATAACCTAGGAGTTTAACAGTCCATAAAACGCAATAAAATACCATAAAACTGTAAAACAGCAGGCGTGTTAAGATAAACTAGAGTTTGAAAATGTTGCAAAAATAAAATAACCCAGGGAAACCGTCAAAAACAAACAATCCCTAACTCATTGTTCTCTATAATACATATTCAGCACGCACGCAGGCATACACACATAGGAAAATATTATCCAGGTGGCATAGGACTAGTATTTAACACCTGATAAGGCAGCTGATTTATGAATATGCTATTTGTATTGATTGTATGAATTGTATATCTATGTACTGTAAAACGCTTTAGAGTGGCTTATTCTATACTTAGATAGGGCGTTTTCTACCACAATACGCTGTGTTATTCCACTCTCAGATCATTGTATAAACACGCAGACTGTTAGATAAATATGAGTTATATACCACATGTGGTATATGACCTTCAAGAGTTTTGATTGGTCGAGAAGATAAACTTTGACCGGGAAGACTTTTTCCGCGTGCTTTTTGCCACCTGCTGTTTTGTTTACGTCGTCGGCTGTCAACATCCGACACATGTGGTGACTTTGTGAGGTTATGCGGGAAAGGGGGTTATTAAGGCAATATTAAAAGATGATACTTACTTAAAGATTTGATCGCTAGTTTCAGGCAAAATTGCTACAGACGCTCGCTATCGTTTCGACGTTACACCGTCGCGTGTCCAGGTCGTGAAACCAAAACAAGATCGATCTGTCACAGGGTCGGGAAATATTTCGTTCTCCCAACGTCCCGTTATCGCTATTTAGACGGTCTGACTATGGCTAAACTTTCACTATAAACGTCAACCATAGAACCGTCACGAAGAAACGTAGGCCTATGGTTTTGGATATTGACAGCGATAAGTTCGTCTACAACGGTGAGTTACGGTGAGTTCATCACTTGGCGGGAGGCAGACTTCGTACGATATGCTTACGCGCATATAGTCCGTGGTTAAATTTATATAAATTAATGCAATACTGCTACTCTCAATACTTTAAGTCGTTCATCTATTTTAATTTTTTCATTAAGTTGTTGCCGAAACATTAATTTTGACAATAATTAAATTTGTAAAAAAAAAAGTCATTTTGAATATTAAATGAGTGACTTTTTACATATGGGTCATATCACTTTCCGACTGATCATGAGATTGTGGTAGAAACAGATCACACGACTCGTGGTTGTCGAGTATGGTATTTATTTCACTCTCGTTAGTTAATTTTCAAAAGTTACAGAAAGACACTCGCTAAAGCTCGTGTCTTTTGTTACTTTTGAAAATTTACTAACTCGAGTGAAATAAATACCATATTCAACAACCACTCGTTGAGTAACCTCTATATATCAAATGTTGTATATTTATATATTCATAATGAAGGAGGATGATACAGAGGAAACCCCGATTATCAAGGGTAGCGCACATTAGTCGCCTCGGGCAGTACGTCAAACCAGACCGATTCAAGTTTGGATTGATTCTATTTTGTTAAACGTCCTATTGACAGTAATGGCCATTTAATGACGTGGGTTTAAGAAGAATATGCATATTTATATAACTATTTATACGTTAACATTTGCAAAAGAGATATATCATATACATAAGGTAGTTTCTTGTAGATCAACAGAGATATCGCTTCTGATGTAAGTGATATCTTCTTAAAGGATAAATCCTAATTATCTGAGATATCTTTAAACATTTAAAGATATCTTTAATTTGTTTAAATATATCGTTGATTTATCAATTTTTTTTAGATACTCTGTATATCAAATCAATTAAACAATATTTTTTTTCAAATCCAATAATTATGTATTTCTGCCATTTAAAATATATCTCTAATAAAATATATCTTTCATATATACATCTTAAAATTGACTCGAGTTGACGTCTTTAAATTGTAAGAAAAATGTCTCTTTTGTGGTGTATTGAGAGATATCTTTCAATGGTTTTTTTCTCCTCTAATTGAAGTAAAGCTATCTACATTTGTAAGAGACATCTCATATACATTTGTAATTAGGATTATATATATGAGATACCGCATTGTTCATTAGTCTTCTCATAAATTGATAGAGATATGTCCGCTAGTTATTCCCTTAATTAAATGAACATTTTCTTTTAGGTATTTGATGTTAAGTTGGCTTACCAAAGGTTCATTGTCAGGCTAAATTTGCACAAACTGTATATCTGAGTCACGTGTACTGATATGTAACAAACCAGTAAACAGTTTTAGTGCCGCCGTGTTATGTGCCGTAGGGGAATCGTACCGCAGTGTTCTATGGAGACTGATATGTGCCATTTCGTTATTTTGCAGCGAAATAATCGTTTTTTTCCCCACGATAATTGTTGTCTTTCCGCAGCGAAATGACGAAACAACGAAAAACCTCATGCGAAGTAACGAAGATATAAGGCAAATGTACATGTAGCCGTTTAGCGACCCGACATGTATTTGTCCTCTCTCATTATCGTTATTTCGGGGCGAAACAAGGAAAAGTATCGTTATGTCGCCCCGAGGACCAAGCGCGCGTATCCCGAGGGCCATTCCTTGGCATTCCAAAGACCATGTAAAGGTTTTCTGAAGATTATTTTGACAATGGATCTGAAGATCATTTGTGAATGTTTTGAGGATTATAATAGGACGTTGAGAGGACAAGCTGGTCTCGAAGTTATGAGAATCAAAGTGATTTTCCGACAGTCATGTCCCTGTGTTGTGTACACTAGGCCTAGTGCCCGTATATGTGAAACTGGGGATTTTGTGCTCAAATCAACTCTCTGATAACTCAATTAAATCATGTGACTCGATAACAAAGAAAAGTATAAACTTTTTAAACAGTATTTGGCTTTAAGTCTCTCAACGAGTCTACCAAATCACTATTTTGTTTATTAATTTATCACTGGAACAAAACATTGGGCTTAAGCACTGTCACAGAATCAGAAATTGAGCATGAGAACGGTTTCATGAAAATGGGCCCAATACCCAGGCATTCTGAGGACTATGTGGCGTTGATCCAAAGGTCATAGTGTTGCGAGGACTATGCATTAGCACCCGGAGGATATGTGATTTGAGGACCAAGCTGGTATTCCGAAGCTCACGTCTCAACATTGCGAAAATCATCCGCTCAGATGAACGATGTTACCGATAGGTATTCCGCGATGTTCCGAGGACCATGATACTCCAAGGATCTGAGGATAGTATACACAGTACAATTATTAGGGTCATGTCGCGATGTTTCTAACACAAGCGACTAAGAATTTGTTACAGCTAAATTTGGACTTAAACTAAGGTGTTCAGAGTAATTTTACACGTTTTACGGGTTTAGTTGATAATTCGGAACACCTTAGTTTAGATCCAAATATGGCTGTAACAAATGTTCATGTCACTTTGGTTTTGAAGTATACGTCGCGCGTTCATAACGACCATGTCTTATTTGCTCTTAGGATGATGTCGCGAGATGATTGAGATGGTTTCAAGGAGCATGCTACAAATTCTATCACAGAGTTTCAAGAATCACTCCGTGGTGTTTCCAAGATCATGCCGGGGTATTCCGAAGTTCATGTAACGGTGCTCTAATGTCATGTCACGATGTTCCGAGTATGATGCCGCAATGTTCCGAATCGCCTAGATTCCTTGCCAAATGTAGTATACACAGAGACAGAACTATAGATTCATATAAATAGTATAGATTTAATCGATATTTAGCCGTGATGTGTTTGAATGTATTTCATTCCATCTTTCCACCACCAACACACAGACTTACAGAAACTACTCAAATGACCCGTTGTAAGCACAAGCTATTTGTCTGGGTACGCTTTTCTTTCTGCATGTTTTATGAAGAGGTCCTGATGAAGAACGCGACTCGTCAGCTAAGAACAACCCGATGTTAAACAACACATGGCCCACCACGTAATTACGCCTTACCACGTTATTGAATTATTTGACATGATTGAGTCGACACATTATAGAGAAATCAAATCAAGTCTACAACTGGGTCAGCCTGGTTTCCGGACTCTCTGGGACAGCCGTTATGTTTACCGGGGGTACTGGAAGAGGTGTCGCTCTTCTGTTATTAATAATCTGCTCTGTAACTTTTACAGAATTCTGTGAACTTTGAAAGGAAAACCCAATCAGTCCCCATAACCTGAGTTCTTTTGTGAAGACGGTACTTGTGTAATAAGTAAGCTTGGGTCCTTCTCAAGAAAGACATGCATTCTCTTATTACTTATTACTCGTTCCCCAGGTAAATAACGACACGGTACATTTTTGTAACACATTCGGGTGGAGGCACTGTCTATAAAAACAACAACACTATCAATCGCATTTTTACCAAAAACAAAATGAAACAAAGAAGAAACCAAGATACGGTTGTATAAATTTTCAAACAATGATCTAAATAAAGATATACATAATATAATTATATTATACTCCTGTCATTTTATAAGTTTCTTGGAATATAACTGACATCGATTTGAAATATTGTTTATTACGATATAAAAAGAGATGAGTCGTTGCTGAGTTTCGATACTATTATACGTCATGTTAAGTGTTTCTTGTTACGAGTTAAGGATGGCTAAAGGTATAGTTCGATATACGATCATTGGTATTAGTTTTGAACTTTCTAGTTTTTAATTTTTGAAAAGCTGAAACTGGTGCTTTACATCTTTAAAATCATTTCATAAATTTGCATTTCGCGAAACAATCCCCTTGAATCAAAGGTAAACAACTCGTGTGTGTTCAGGACAGTGTCTTAGTTTTAATACATGTACTGCATCATCACTTTAAGCGTATTAATGACGTCACTTGTTCCGGTGATCTAGGCGGCAGTAGTTATATCACTATATAACTACAGGAGGCACGGTGGTCTAGTGGTAGGACGCCGAGCTCGTGACCGGCGGGTTCGAGTCACGGCACGGCTCTGTGTTGTATCCTTAAGCAAGATACTTTACTTGCTTGTTCCAGTCTACTCAGCTGTAAATGAGTACGTGGTTGGGCAGTGCTAGAATTGTAGAATGCTAGCTGTGAGCGCCGAACTGGCAGCACCGGCTGTATGCTCCCCAGGGAGTTGCAAATGCCCTATAACCAAGGATAATAATTTGTGAACCGCTTTGAGACGACCTACGAACTAGGTTGTTATAAAGCGGTATACAAGCAAAGAGACATACAATGAATGTTTAATCATGAAGCCAACACGTAACAAATCATGTAATCAATACATTTAATACTATATTTTACAGCAGAACTTTATAATTCATGAAACCCAATGACTATTTGTACAAAAAGTGCCTCATGAAATCAATACTTCCGTCCGATGTCTGATCTGACAAATGCATGACAGATAGATAACACTTGTAAATTGTTTATGATTAGGAACGTCTCGTTTGTTTTCATAGATTCGGCAGCATGTTATTATTGTACTTTGAACGCATCGACCGACGCACAAACGTCATTCGGAACACCTCACCCCGATTACAGTTCCTTTCATCAAAGACCAAATCGGCCGGGGTATTCTGATTGGTACAAACGTATATCCAACATATTTTTTTTGATGTTATTGTTGTTTAAGTAATTCCCGGTCGTTTCAGTGTTGAATGAGGTCACCAACACATACAAACTACAAGTACATTTGGTATTCACCTGTCCAACAGTTCAACTTAACAGGCGAATCCACGTACAGAGAAGACACTACAGCTCCGATTTGCATAGGTGACCAACGTCAGGTCTTTGGATTGAACTAAAGTCATTTTTCATCTTCTGTATCATATATATATATATATATATAAACATCAATCCGCCTGAAGAAGCCCTAGAAGGCAGAAAGGCCTGGCGGACGATCTGAAAAAATTATGTTTTTATTCTATATTTTCCTTCGCAAGGACTTATTTATTTATTATCTACTATATATATATAAGTACATAGAGGTTTTTCGGTGTACAACGCTGATCAATACACCTCATAACTATCAATATATCATTTATAAACATCATATCACAGCAGGTAACATGTCTATAAGGACGGTAGAAGATCACAGAAACTAATATCTCTCAGTGGACGTCAGATGATCACAGAAGCTAACGTCTCTCAGAGGACGTCAGATGATCACAGAAACCAATGTCTCTCAGAGGACGGCAGAAGATCAAAGAAACCAATATCTCTCAGGAAACGTCAGACGATCACAGAAACCAGAATCTCTCAGAGGATGACAGAAGATCACAGAAACCAATATCTCTCAGAGGACGGCAGAAGATCACAGAAACTAATATCTCTCAGAGGACGTCAGATGATGTCAGACGATCACAGACACCAATATCACTCAAAGGACGATCACAGACACCAATATCTCTCAGAGGACGACAGACGATCACAGACACCAATATCTCTCAAAGGACGTCAGATGATCACAGAAACCAATATCTCTCCTCAGAGGACGTCAGACGATCACAGACACCAATATCACTCAAAGGACGTCAGATGATCACAGAGACCAATATCTCTCCTCAGAGGCCGTCAGACGATCACAAAAACCAATATCTCTCAGAGGACGTCAGATGATCACAGAAACCAATATCTCTCCTCAGAGGACGTCAGACGATCACAAAAACCAATATCTCTCCTCAGAGGACGTCAGATGATCACAGAAACCAATATCTCTCCTCAGAGGACGACAGAAGATCACAGAAACCAATATCTCTCAGAGAACGTCAGACGATCACAGAAACCAATATCTCTCAGAGGACGGCAGACGATCACAGAAACCAATATCTCTCATAGGACGGCAGAAGATCACAGAAACTAATATCTCTCAGAGAACGTCAGACGATCACAGAAACCAATATCTCTCAGAGGACGGCAGACGATCACAGAAACCAATATCTCTCATAGGACGGCAGAAGATCACAGAAACTAATACCTCTCAGAGGACGTCAGACGATCACAGAAACCAATATCTCTCAGAGGACGGCAGACGATCACAGAAACCAATATCTCTCAGAGGACGACAGACGATCACAGAAACTAATATCTCTCAGAGGACGACAGAAGATCACAGAAACTAATATCTCTCAGAGGACGTCAGACGATCACAGAAACCAATATCTCTCAGAGGACGACAGACGATCACAGAAACCAATATCTCTCAGAGGACGACAGACGATCACAGAATCCAATATCTCTCAGAGGACGTCGGACGATCACAGAAACCAATATCTCTCAGAGGACGACAGACGATCACAGAAACCAATATCTCTCAGAGAACGTCAGATGATCACAGAAACCAATGTCTCTCAGAGGACGGCAGAAGATCACAGAAACCTATATCTCTCAGAGGACGTCAGACGATCACAGAAACCAATATCTCTCAGAGGACGGCAGAAGATCACAGAAACCTATATCTCCCAGAGGACAGCAGACGATCATAGAAACTTATATCTCTCTCAGAGGAAAACAGACGATCACAGAAACTAATATCTCTCAGAGGACGTCAGACGATCACAGAAACCTATATCTCTCAGAGGACGTCAGACGATCATAGAAACTTATATCTCTCAGAGAACGGCAGACGATCACAGAAACCAATATCTCTCAGAGGACGGCAGACGATCACAGAAACCAATATCTCTCAGAGGACGACGGAAGATCACAAAATTTAAGACATCTCGAATGACGTCAGAAGATCACAAAGGTAAAGATCTTTCAGGGGACGGCAGATCCTAAAAAAAATCTCTTAAAGGAAGGCAAAAGATTACAGATAATAAAATCTCTCAAATGACGTCAGAAGATCACATACACTAATATCCCTCCCGAGAATTGCAGAAGATCACAAAACTCATATCTCTTAGATAACGGCAGAAAAATCACAAAAAATATATATATATCAGAGGACATAAAAAGAGAGACGATCTGTATATATATTATCACAGAAGTTACAATTCCTCACTTTACCACAGAAAGTGTGTCACGTAGTCGCCCTTTCATCTACATCAGTAGAACCCGGGCGGTTGCCTTGGGAGCATGTCACTTTACTATAGATGTTAGAGGTCTTACTTCAATTTGACCCAAACTACTTGAACTGTCGATGGGCCGTAAAACGAAACTAAATATGACTTTATTGCAGAAAGTATGAACTCTCGTTTTACGACAGACGCGTACGACTGTCATCTTATTTCACGACAGAAGATACACATTTTTCACTTAAAAACAGAAGGTATATCTATCATTTTACTACAGAAGGTAGATCGCTCATTTACTGCAGAATCTAGATGTCTCATTTGACTACAGATAGTACACGTGTAATTTACTCCAGAAAGTGGAGGTCTCATTTCACTACAAAAGATGGATTCCTCATTTTACTAAAAATAGTCTCTCATTTAACTACATGTACAAAAAATCTGTCATTTTACTACACAAGGTAGAATTCTTGTTTAACTACAAAACCCGACTCTTACATTTTTTTTACTTCATGACAGAAAGTGCATACTCGTAAGAGTAAATTGGAATCTTGCGGCATGGGATATACACGCTAAGGGTTATTGCCGTCGTGTATAACTGATGCTTCTGGTCCAAGCGGAATTCCACGTAAACAAATCAGTCATTAAACTAGTTCAGTGACAGTTATTTAGCTGTCATTTAGTTAATGTAACTCTATCGTACTTTAATCCATGTACTGTAATTAGTTGTCAGGTTTACGGTATAAGGCGTGAATCAAATTAACAGCAGTCGAATAAGTCTCAAAATGGCGATTCTGTGTTGTTTTTATAGATCCCTACTTGTCTGACACTTTCTCTCCCCTTATCTCGTCACAGACAAGTCAACTCATGCTTTGGCACTGATCCTGGTACCAAATCTACATTAATATACACGTATATATATCACAGTAGCAGCAGTGTAATTAGTTTTGTCACGTGATTGACGTAGTTCCGTTGCCATTGACATGCGCAGTCCGTTGCTTGTTCATTTCCTCTGTCATGGCGGCAGCCATTTTGGAGATAACGAACTCCATCATACTGCGCCAAGCTATTCGAACATTCGCCAGGTATACGTCTCCGAGGCAAGCGTTGAAACTGTCATCTATACAGGGCCACAGTCGCTGTGTGGGAAAAACGGACAAACTTACTACATATGCAACTTAATAATACAACCTTGCTTGGAACAGTTCATATATAACAGACATTATTCAATTTAATGTATACATCTCTTATAAGTTGTGATATATTTAGTTAATAACATCATTATTAAATTTTGTATCGGGGTTTGATGTAGCTCAGGTGTTGAAATATCCCATTATATAACTTGTGTATTTGGTATTTTGACGAATGGCAATATACAAAAAAAGCAAATAATCGAAATTGCCTTGGGGTTATGTTAGTCAGTCTTCATCTTAACAAATGGTATCGAGACACTTAAAATTACAGTGTTTACACTGACACATGTGACAACCATACACTGTCATATGAGATAACTGATACCTTTACATTACGCCATAAAACAACTATACGTAGCGACACGATCCGACACAACTATTTATTAGACACTAATAGTAAAAACTACACTGAGATAACTGACAACTACAATGTACTTTAACACATGGCAGCTACACATTTAGACAACTAGTGACAACTACATACTCAGTTATGCAACAACTATACATTAACACGTGACAGCTACAGCACATTTTGACAACTAGTGACAACTACACGTTTAGACAACTAGTGACAACTACACATTTAGACAACTAGTGATAACTAACATTAAGACAACTACAGTAGTGACAATTTTACGTTAACATGTGACAACTATACATTGACACATGACAACTGCACATTTAGACAACTAGTGACAACTACACACTGAGTTAAATGACAACTATATACACTTACACATGACAACGCACATTTAGACAACTAGTGGCAACTATACACTGAGACAGACCTCCGATGTTATGACGATGACCTACATTTACCGAAGGTAATATCTAAGTATAATGCTCCATGCCTGTATTTTTCTGTTCGTGATGTCTTTGGTTCGGTTTGCAATGTACTTGATGTCGATAGGAAAAAAAAAAATTAATCACTCAGCAGTAAGAAAGCAAATCCTATATACATCTACAATTCTTTATTGACGCCTCACCTCTAACATCCGGGCCTTCACGTTGCTGTTGTGGTGCTGTCTCCCAAGGTGTTCAAGGTACGTGCGTAATTTTGCGGGCTCGTCCAGGTACGTGACGATGGTGTCAAGCCCCTCCATCACGCGCATTGCGTGGGATTTGAGCATCTCTCCGTCCACCCCCAGACTCTCCCCTCCGTCCTCAGTCCGAATAACGCGCGGGAAAAGTACAAGGATCTCGTTCTCAACTGACCGGAAGAAGCTGGACAAAAAAACCCAAACATTTTAAGCAAATGTATCAGAAGTTGAGAAATGAATGCGTCACAATGATAAAGTATCTAGTCCTGTGTAACTGATTGGTTTGGTTTAATTTTGTTTAACGTCCTATTAACAGCTAAGGTCTGATGTTAGAGCACTGGAATAGTAACCAATTGTCTCGGGTTCGACTTCAAATGGAGGCAGGGCACAGGTAACTTCTGAACAGATGAGAAAAGCACAGGATATGTCTGGATAGGACAGATACGGACAGGTAAAATATGGATTGAAGATACCTGGAGTCATGTAAAGATCGGAGATATCTTGACAGATGATGTAGACAGGTGTGTACAGATTATGTTAATATATGATAGAATAAGGACAGGTGATATGAGGATAAAGTTGGTGATATGATGGTGATAGGGAAAGATATGAAATGGATTAGGACAGGTGAAAAAGGGATTGGGACAGGTGTAATAGGAACAGGTGAGATAGGAATTGAGACAGGTGTAATAGGAACAGGTGTGATAGGGATTTGGACAGGTGTAATAGGAACATGTGAGATAGGGATTGGGACAGGTGTGATAGGAACAGGTGAGATAGGGATTGGGACAAGTGAGATACGGATTGGGACAGATGTAATAGGAACAGGTGAGATACGGATTGGGACAGATGTAACAGGAACAGGCGAGATAGGGATTGGGACAGGTGAGATAGGGATTGGGACAGATGTAATAGGAACAGGTGGGATAGGGATTGGGACAGGTGAGATAGGGATTTGGACAGGTGTAATAGGAACATGTGAGATATGGATTGGGACAGGTGTGATAGGAACAGGTGAGATAGGGATTGGGACGGGTGAGATAGGGATTGGGACAGATGTAATAGGAACAGGTGAGATACGGATTGAGACAGATGTAATAGGAACAGGTGAGATAGGGATAGGGACATGTGAGATACGGATTGGGACAGATGTAACAGGAACAGGTGAGATAGGGATTGGGACAGATGTAATAGGAACAGGTGAGATAGGGATTGGGACAGATGTAATAGGAACAGGTGAGATACGGATTGGGACAGGTGAGATACAGATTGGGACAGATGTAATAGGAACAGGTGAGATACGGATTGGGACAGATGTAATAGGAACAGGTGAGATAGGGATTGAGACAGGTGAGATAGGGATTGGGACAGATGTAATGGGAACATGTGAGATACGGATTGGGACAGATGTGATAGGAACAGGTGAGATAGGGATTGGGACAGGTGAGATAGGGATTTGGACAGGTGTAATAGGAACATGTAAGATAGGGATTGGGACAGGTGTGATAGGAACAGGTGAGATAGGGATGGGGACAAGTAAGATAGAGGCAGGTGAGATAGGGGTTGGGACAGGGGAGATAGGGATTTGGACAGGTGGAATAGGAACATGTAAGATAGGGATTGGGACAGGAGAGATAGGGATTTGGACAGGAGTAATAGGAACATGTAAGATAGGGATTGGGACAGGGGAGATACGGATTGGGACAGATGTAATAGGAACAGGTGAGATAGGGATTGGGACAGGTGAGATAGGGACATGTGAGATAGAAGTGAGGACATGTGAGATAGGGACAGGTGACATAGAGGTGAGGACATGTGAGATAAGGATGGGGACTAGTAAGATAGGGATGGGACAGGTGTAATAGGAACAGGTGAGACAGGGATTGGGACAGGTGTAATAGGAACAGGTGAGATAGGGACAGGTAAGATAGAGGTGAGGACATGTGAGATAGGGACATGTGAGATAGAGATGAGGACATGTGAGATAAGGATGGGGATTAGTGAGATAGGGATGGGACAAGTGTAATAGGAACAGGTGAGATACGGATTGGGACAGATGTAATAGGAACAGGTGAGATAGGGATTGGGACAGGTGTGATAGGGACAGGTGAGATAGGGATTTGGACAGGTGATATAGGGATGCAGACAGATGAGATTGGGAAAGGGATGAGGACATGTGAGATAAGGATGGGGACATGTGAGATAATGACGAGGACAGGTGAGATAGGGATGTGGACAGATGAGATAGGGATGCGGACAGATGAGATAGGGACAGGTGAGATAAGGATAAAGTTGGTGATAGGATAGTGGTAGGGATGAGGACAGATGAGATTAGGACAGGTGAGATATGGGTAAGTACATGTGAGATAGGAACGGGGATTAGTGAGAAAGGAACAGGTGTAAAATATAGGGATGGGGAAAGATGAGATAGGGTTTGAACAGGTGAGATAGAGATGGGGACAAGTGAAATAGGTATGGGGACAGGTGAGATAGGGATGGGAGCTGGTGGGATTGGGATATATGAGGTAAGGATTTGGACGTGTGATAAATAGTGATTTTAAATGGGATCGAAAAGCGCATGCAAAAGCCATAAAATCAACATAAAAGCAAGGCATGACTACATAATTAAAGGGATGGATTACATCGGAATGTTCACATGGTTGCTTGGACGCGTCGGATGATGTAATAGCACCTCTGACAGGGTGGTAGTTTGTGATGATGACACCCGAAGCATGGCTTTGTGACCGTAAATGGTCTCTATGTCAATATATTTAACATGGTGGCAACGTGTTTGGAAGTCATAAATCTCCAAGCTGTGTGTTGTATTCCTGTATCGATGGTTCCATGTCAACACTGACACAGATAAAGGCGGTACTTTGTGCGGGGGGACTGCCGGGAGTGTGTACGTCAATACATTATACAATTATCTGTGTGAATTATTAATTATGTAATCGAGAATGTTTACATACGCGACAGAACAATAAATGGAAAATATTACACCATTAAGTCCTTATTTGGCAATACATTGGACTGACCAGTTCCAATTACGAGTAAGCACGTTAGGCGCACGTCAACACATTACCGGTAATGCATAAATGAGCACGTGCATGCAATTGCACGTACTTTACTGAGGACGCTCTTATCAATGCTGCTATCGTATAAGAACACGTTATTAAAAACATGCACGTGAATTAGTTAGGACAGTAATAGAAGGGCAAATACTCACTTCTACAGTTTTAATCTGATAAACCTGTAGTAAAACTGATATATATCCAGTGTACACTTTGACTTACCTGGTTTAAATATCCAGTGTAACTATGACTTACCTGGGTAATATATCCAGTGTAACTGTGACTTACCTGGGTAATATATCCAGTGTAACTATGACTAACCTGGAGTATATATCCAGTGTACACTTTGACTTACCTGGATTATATATCCAGTGTAACTGTGACTTACCTGGGTAATATATCCAGTGTAACTATGACTAACCTGGAGTATATATCTGGTGTAACTATGTTTTACCTGGATTATATATCCAATGTAACTATAAATAACCTGGAGTATATATCTAGTCTAACTATGACTTACCTGGAATATATTCGGTGTAACTATGACTAAACTGGAGTATATATCTGGTGTAACTATGACTTACCTGGATTATATATCCAGTGTAACTATGACTTACCTGGATTATATATCGAGCGTTACTATGACTTACCTGGATTATATATCCAGTGTAACTACGTTTTACCTGGATTATACAGTACATCCAGTGTAACTATGGCTTACCTGGACTAAACAGTACATCCAGTGTAACTACGTTTTACCTGGATTAAACAGTACATCCAGTGTAACTATGGCTTACCTGGATTATACAGTACATCCAGTGTAACCATGACTTACCTGGATTAAACAGTACATCCAGTGTAACTATGACCTACCTGGATTATACAGTACATCAAGTGTAACTATGACTTACCTGGATTAAACAGTACATCCAGTGAAACTATGGCTTACCTGGATTATACAGTACATCAAGTGTGACTATGACTTACCTGGATTATACAGTACATCAAGTGTAACTATGACCTACCTGGATTATACAGTACATCCAGTGTAACTATGACTTACCTGGATTAAACCGTACATCCCGTGTAACTATGGCTTACCTGGATTATACAGTACATCCAGGGTAACTATGACCTACCTGGATTATACAGTACATCCAGTGTAACTATGACTTCCCTGGATTAAACAGTACATCCAGTGTAACTATGGCTTCCCTGGATTATACAGTACATCCAGTGTAACTATGACTTCCCTGGATTAAACAGTACATCCAGTGTAACTATGACTTACCTGGATTATATATCCAGTGTAACTATGACTTACCTGGATTATACAGTACATCAAGTGTAACTATGACTAACCTGGATTATACAGTACATCAAGTGTGACTATGACTTACCTGGATTATACAGTACATCCAGTGTAACTATGACTTACCTGGATTAAACAGTACATCCATTGTAACTATGGCTTACCTGGATTATACAGTTCATCCAGTGTAACTATGGCTTACCTGGATTATACAGTACATCCAGTGTAACTATGACCTACCTGGATTATACAGTACATACAGTGTAGCTATGACTTACCTGGATTATAAAGTACATCCAGTGTAACTATGGCTTACCTGGATTATACAGTTCATACAGTGTAATTATGACTAACCTGGATTAAACAGTACACCCAGTGTAACTATGGCTAACCTGGATTATACAGAACATCCAGTGTAACTATCGCTTACCTGGATTATACAGTTCATCCAGGGTATATATGACTAACCTGGGTTATACCTTACATCCAGTGTAACTATCGCTTACCTGGATTATACAGTTAATCCAGTGTAACTATGACCTGCCTGGATTATACAGTACAGCCAGTGTAACTATGGCTTACCGGGATTATACAGTTCATACAGTGTAATTATGACTAACCTGGATTATTCAGTACATCCAGTGTAACTATGACTAACCTGGATTATACAGTACATCAAGTGTAACTATGACTAACCCTGATTATACAGTACATCCAGTGTAACTATGACTAACCTGGATTATAAAGTACATCCAGTGTAACTATCGCTTACCTGGATTATACAGTACATACAGTGTAACTATGACTAACCAGGATTATACAGTACATCCAGGGTAACTATGACTAACCTGGAGTATATATCCAGTGTAACTATGACTAACCTGGATTAAACAGTACATCCAGTGTAACTATGACTAACCTGGAGTATATATCCAGTGTAACTATGGCTTACCTGGATTATACAGTTCATCCAGTGAAACTATGCCTTACCTGGATTATACAGTACATCTAGCGTAACTATGACTTACCTGGATTAAACAGTACATCCAGTGTAACTATGACTAGCCTGGATTATACAGTACATCCAGTGAAACTACGTTTTACCTGGATTATACAGTTCATCCAGTGTAACTATGACTTACCTGGATTAAACAGTACATCCAGTGAAACTACGTTTTACCTGGATTATCCAGTACATCCAGTGAAACTACGTTTTACCTGGATTATACAGTTCATCCAGTGAAACTACGTTTTACCTGGATTATACATTACATCCAGTGTGACTATGACTTACCTGGATTAAACAGTACATCCAGTGTAACTATGACTAACCTGGATTATACAGTTCATCCAGTGTAACTATGACCTACCTGGATTATACAGTACATCCAGTGTAACTATGACTTACCTGGATTAAACAGTACATCCAGTGTAACTATGACTAACCTGGATTATACAGTACATCCAGTGTAACTATGACTAACCTGGATTTTACAGTACATCCAGTATATCTACGTTTTACCTGGATTTAATATCCAATATAACTACGACTTACCTGGACTATACAATGTATTCAGTAAACTATGTCTTACCTGGAGTATATATCCAGTGTTACTATGCCTTACCTGGATTTAATATCCAATATACATGTATCTACGACTTACCTGGACTATACAATGTATCCTGTAAACTATGTCTTACCTGGAGTATATATCCAGTAAACTATGTCTTACCTAGTGTATATCTTCATTGTATCTATGACTTACATGCCGCTTATTTTTTAATTGTAACTCTGAGTAATAAAGAGTATATTTTCAGTATAAAAATGACTTACCTGGAGTGTATATCCAGTGTAACGGCGACTTAACTGAAGTATTTTTCCATTGTTACAGTGTAACACCGATTTAACGAGAGTATATTTTCAGTGTGACTCCGGCCTACCCGGAGTATATACCTACTTTAGTTCTGATCTACATTGAGATACCTCCAGACTTAGTGATGTATGTGTATCTAGTGTGACTCTGGCCTACCTGGAGTATATCGACAGTCCAACCTCCATTGAAGAAGAATCCTGTATGAGGCCCCAGCTATCCCTCACCAAGTGTATCTGTCTGTCCGTTAGATGTTGATGGAACAGGTCGTCCGTCTTCCCGTCCTCTGGTTTACTGTTCTTCTGTCCTCGTGACCTTGAACTTCCACACCCCATCCAGGCACCTTTAGTCATTCGTTTTTACAAGGTATACTGTATAAATAACCTCTAACCACTAAGTGAAACTACAAGGTTAACATGTCATAAGAATCGTGTTTGTTGCCATGTGCCGATACTGCAATTTTCCTGGAATGGATGATTCAGTAAAACCCATGACGTCTTTAGTTAGTTTTAAAATATTTCATCCCAGATTGTTTTCAATAAAATATAAGGTAACAGTGAATGGATAGTTGCAGGGTCACTTGCTGGTTAAGTGACATTGATGAATGCAGTTCCCTCACGGTCCTATCATCGGAACTATCGTCGTCAACACAAATACAGTGGAAACATTTACACACCAGTAATTGACTTTTAAGAACAACAAGCAGTAACTCTCGCGGTGTTACGAGAGTCAGGAGGACCGCTCGTGAATTATTCACGTCCCTTTACGTGTGAAGACACTAGAATAAAACATCAGCTAAATTAGACAATTACGTTCAATAGAGTCCTCTATGGATGCACAATAAAAGCACGGGATGTCAGCACACAAAACAGATGGCATGTGGTGTTCGCGAGTTGACACACACAAAAATATGTCAGTACTCAAAAACATCTGTCTTCTTATACCCCGGTAAGAGAACAGTGAAACACGTGTCATTTGATGTCCCGATATCAGCACACAAACACACGTGTCATTTGATGTCCCGGTATTAACACACAGACACACGCGTCATTTGATGTTTGGGTATTAGCACACACACACGTGTCATGTAATGTCCCGATATTAGCACACAAACACACGTGTCATTAGATGTTTGGGTATTAGCACACACACACGTGTCATGTAAGGTCCCGATATTAGCACACAAACACACGTGTCATTTGATGTCCCGATATTAGCACATAAACACGTGTCATTTGTTGTCCCGGAATTAGCACACAAACACGTGTCAACTGATTTCCCGTAATATCACATAAACACATATGGTTTAGCACTAACACACGAAGGACGAAGACATGCTTTGTTCCCGTGCTTGTGCTGTCAGCCAATGTTAAATAACACGTTGATGGAGATTATAAATTCTATTTATTTCGAAATCGCACAGGTCCTCCGTGGATAGTGTTTAGATCGGATGCCAGTGAGCTGGTCCATTATATCAGGAAACCGTTCCCTCACCGTTCTATTTTCTAACAACGTCCCACATTTGCCTGATAGATCTTCACGTTCAACTGAACCTTGACCATTACATATAGCTTTTAGTGACCGGTATCATATATGGAATGGTGACTAGGCATTCATGAATCGGCGCGGGTTGGCCAAACACTCGTTACCATAACAGTTTCCTTAGCGATGACAACGAGTGATGGCGTACCAATACATGCTATGCTATGCATGACGACTTTTCTAATAAAACATTCATAAGTCGCGTTTACGAATACGGCAGTCGTCATTCATCTTACAATATATTAAGCTAAACTATTTAATCAACACGGAATTATCAATCCGACAAATTAGCTGCCGTCGTTCAAAATCAATGACACTCGAGTTTCAGAGTATATGTGAGACCAGTTGGAGGGTTGGACGATGAATATGTCTGTAGCGTGTTATGTTTAGTACACTAAAGCTTTATAGTCTGTTCTGGCTCCTGGACACTTTTTCCATGTGTAATAAACAGTCGACTCTACTGTAACCAAGTGAAAGCATTGACTATTAATCATGTTTCTACTCCAACCACTGTTAATCAGCGAAAAGTCTTTATCAGAAAGGCGTTTGATTTACAAGTGATTTTATGCGAGACTAATGCCAAGGTTGAAGGTAATCTGGGAACTCAAATGTTCATATCTAGATATCAACCTATATAAGTCAATATGTACAAATGTAACTACTAGTATGTATATCACGTGTTATACTGTGTAACAATGTTTATCACGTGTTATACTTTGTAACCACCCCTGCAGGTGGGGGATAGGTACAAGAATACACCTGCTGTCACACACTGCATGTATCGTAGGAGGCGACGAATGTTGGACCCCCTGCAGAATTTGGGATTTGCTTTAATTTGGTGTCCTCTATTTTGGGACACAAAAGCGACCAAAATAAATCTGCTGCGCCTATTGCAATATTTGGGATCTTTATCTTTCTTTCTACTTTATCTTTATCTTTATCTATTATTTCCTAGCGCCTTGCTTGATAACACCTTACTTTTGGCTTGATGGTTGAGCGTTCTGTTTCGCGGTAAAGCCCGAGAGTCGTCATGATTGGTTACATTTGATATGCAAAACTCGGGATTCACGTCATGTGATCGAAGTTGCATCATACGTCTCCATTCATAACTTCAGAATGTTCGTCCAGGTGAACAAGGCAATGGGTTCTGTCCCAAGGCTGGGACATACCAAAGTCCTTAACAATTGTAGTTGTTATTCCCTGCTTAACGTTCAGCATTAAGGGGAATGTCAACAACTTGTTCACCCGTTGTCAGTATAATGTGACCGGGCGGAATGCTGTGCTGGGTGCCTTCGGCGGGATATTTTAGTGAGATATCACTATAAAGTCGGCCTCAGATCCGCGCTATCACAAGGAGGCACGAATACACTACACACATGGAGGCGCGTCCTTAAATGACCTTAGGTGTTAATAGGACGTTAAACATAATTAAACCAAACCAAACCAAACCATACTGTGTAACTCTGTATTTCACGTGTTATACTGTGTTACTATGTATATCACGTGGTATAATGTGTACATTTGTATGTCATGTGTTATACTGTGTTACTAGGTATGTCATGTATTATACTGTGTTACTATGCATGTCATGTATTATACTGTGTTACTATGTATATCACGTGGTATAATGTGTACATATGTATGTCATGTGTTATACTGTGTTACTAGGTATGTCATGTATTATACTGTGTTACTATGTATGTCATGTATGATACTGTGTTACTATGTATGGCATGTGTTATACTGTGATACTCTGTATATCACGTGGTATAATGTGTACATATCTATGTCATGTATTATACTGTGTTACTATGGATGTCATGTATTATACTGTGTTACTATGTATATCACGTGGTATAATGTGTACATTTGTATGTCATGTGTTATACTGTGTTACTATGTATATCACGTGGTATAATGTGTACATATCTATGTCATGTGTTATATTGTGTTACTATGTATGTCATGTATTATACTGTGTTATTATGTATATCACGTGGTATAATGTGTACATTTGTATGTCATGTGTTATACTGTGTTACTATGTATGGCATGTGTTATCCTGTGATACTATGTATGTCATGTGTTATTATACAGTAAAAGTATGGGGATGAGGGATATAGCAAGTTTATGGTGTCCCGAGACAAGGTCTATTTCCCGCGGCGAAGCCGAGGGAAATAGGCATGGTCAGGGAACACCAGAAACTTGCTATATCCCTCAACCCCATACTTTTACTGTATAATAACACATGACATACATAGTATCACAGTATAACACATGCCATACTGTGTTACTATGTATGGCATGTGTTATACTGTGATACTATGTATGTCATGTGTTATTATACAGTAAAAGTATGGGGTTGAGGGATATAGCAAGTTTATGGTGTCCCGAGACAAGGTCTATTTCCCGCGGCGAAGCCGAGGGAAATAGGCATGGTCAAGGAACACCAGAAACTTGCTATATCCCTCAACCCCATACTTTAACCGTTTTATTATACCGATACACACTGGAGAGATAGTTTTAACTAGAAATATTTGTAAACCATAAGCTGTATAGCTTCACGTCCAAACTACCCCTTTGATGGCAATGGAGCGAAATGCTTCCGAGTTCGGTAGCAAGCTTCGACCACCTCGCGCGTCGCTTCAGAGATCGGTAGCAAGCTCTTCCCACCTATCGCGTCGCTTCCGAGTTCGGTAACAAGCTCCGCCCACCTTCGCCTGATTGGCTCGGCAGAAACACCCGAGTGTAGGTGTGTTTTAGTTCCCAGACTAACACGCGGGACTAAAACACAGTCCGGCAAAAGTGGGGATATATTCGATTTAATCAATTACTTTTATATAGAGTAAATCAAGTAGAGGTATAATAAACTGTGTTACTATGTATATCTCGTGGTATAATGTGTACATACGATGTCATGTGTTACTGTATACGTACTGTATTACTATGTATGTCACGTGTTATACCATGTGTGTAACTACAAATGTATGTATGTCACGTATCATACTGTTTAATTGTGTATGTCATGTGTTATACTGTTTAATTGTGTGTGTCATGTGTTATGCTGTGTAAATGACTACGAATGTCACGTGCTTTACCGTTGAACTTTGTGTGTTTCGAGTAACGTTTGTATATAGTCTTTGTAAATGTAAATCACTTTTTTTCTGCCTCACAAGTAGTATGTATATGTAGGTATACTAACAAAGGAAAGCTTGTATCTCCTAAAGTCATTGAGTGTACACACACAATAGACCTAGAATCATTGGTATACATGTAACGCCATACATTAAAGCTGACATGACAGTTAAACTGTGTCACATGTTTCAATATCATACGATACAATACCATCTATTGTATGCCGATACAATGCATTTTGCCTTGGTCTATTGTTCTGCGTTTTTTTTGTTCATTTGATCTGTAAGTTGGTCTTTTTTTATCTAAAATACTCTACATATAATGGTTTCGAGTAAAACATACGTTGTAAATGGGACAATACTTCCGGATACTTTCATTGAAACCTCGAACCAAATCAATGACAACATACATCTGTCTATTTATGTCGAAAATAGCAGGGAGTTTATTGTGTGGACACTATTATATACCGGACGCTACCAACAATGGCGGACGTAACCATATCGAGAACGGAATTATAACTAAACGTTTGCCGATATAGAAGCGTCAAATGGCAATGAAATATTCCGGAACCCATTTTCATTTCGATTCGTCGACTTAGTGAAGAAGTTCCGGTGAAACATTTTATATCAGGCACGTGCAAATTTATGTGATGAAAAGTTCCGCATCAATAATCAGTACGTACATATGTGTTACATGTACACACACAAGGACGATATTACGTCAAACAAATGGTTAATCTTGTACGTCAGTATTACTTTAATATAAATTCTCCGATAAAAATTCCGGATCATCGAGATTTCATTGCCTATAATTACAGGTATGCACAAAACGCAAAGACTATCATTGTATCAGGGTTTGCAAAGTGTACGGATTATAAGGGTATCTGGAGGTCAAGTTTTCCGTATTATCAATGTGTCGGGATTGTATTCGGATTACAAGGATATCCTGAACGTCAAGGTATCCTAATTATTCAGGTATCTGAAATTGCAAGTGTATCCGAAATGTCAAGCTAGTCATATTGTATCATATAATCAATGTGTTTGTATTATTACAGTATCCTTATAATCAATGTGTCCGGATTATCAAGGTATCCGGATTATCAATGTATCCGGATTATCAATGTATCCTTTCAATCAATGTGTCCGTATTATCAAGGTATCCTTATAATCAATGTGTCTGTGTTATCAAGGTATCCTTATAATCAATGTGTCCAGATTATGAAGGTATCCTTACATGCATAATCATAGTGTCCGGATTATCAATGTATTGATACTGTCAATGTGTCCGGATTATCAATGTGTCAGGATTATCAATGTATCCTAATAATCAATTTGTCCGGATTATCAAAGTATCGATACTGTCAAAGTGTCCGGATTATCAAAGTGTCCGGATTATCAATATAGCCGGATTATCAATGTATCCGGATTATCAATGTGTCCGGATTATCAATATATCCTAATAATCAATGTGTCCGGATTATCAAAGTATCCACAGTATCATGGTTCGTATGATTAAGGTCCAGATTTCTCATTGGACAAAATGAGGCAATAATCGCTACGAGGCAATATGAGTTCACTACAAAAGTCACTAGGGTTTCTCTCTAATAGAACCATACAACGAAGATTGGCTCTACAGCAACATGCTATCTAAACCATGATGTTCTTTTAGGTTGCATTCTTAGGTAGTTTGATTAATGTCAAATAGACAAAGATTATAAAGAAGTTATGCAGAATTTACAATGCAGTTTGTAGGACGTTCGCATAAGCCGCCATTCCCTACTGGAAGCATTCAACATGCCTTTCCAGCATTGGTCGTACAGAAAGTAAGTAACCTCGTCCAGCGTGTTATTTGTCATCTCGCTTTCCGACGTCATACCTGCATTACAATACCCCAATACTTCTGTCCTTTGAATGGGCCCGCGATATATCGCCAAATACCGCTTTTTAACGT